TATGCTCTGAGGTGTTCACATATGTCACAACATGCTGTGTTATGCAACGGTATGCTCTGCTCTGTGGCACAATATCATGGCATGCTTTGCTATGACAGGGTATGTCCAACGATGCTGTGTTCAGTGATGCTGTCGACGATACGCTCAGTCTCGCATAGTATGTCATGATCGGCTTGGCTATGGCATGATATTGCTTGTTATGTCCTGATATTCCCCTTGAAGAGAAGGTCGTTGTTGCATACGTTACAATGTTACATGCAGTGTTCTATCACGTACGCTCTATCGTGTCCCGTTCTGTTCTCAACGGGCCGGCGTGGCGTCGTGACGCCTGTCCCGTTAGATACGTCAACCAATCGGTCGTTGCTGCAACTGTTGGTTCCTGTGGCCAGCCTGACCTCGGCGCGCACGCCGCGTTTGAGTATGTAACAATGCTGTATGTTCTGCTGTGATGTTTCTCTTCACTCATGTCTTATGTCACGCTACTATATACACACACTATGTAGTGACAACCTCTGTCACAATATGATTTGATATGTTATATATGCTCTACTCTGTGGAAACACGCTATGTCATGATATGTTCTGTCAGGTTTGAGTATGGCATGCTCTATGAGTGATGTTGTGTACGCGATGTTCAGTTCGTTCTAACATGATTCGAACTGCTCTTTTATGGCATACCTCTTATACGGAGTTATTGAATATGATATGACATCAAGCCCGCTGCTGTAGTGATAGCAGCAGTGCAACACTCTTCATCATGCGATGCCTTTGCATCAGGCTAAAGTTCGTGGTATCACTATTATGTGCCCGTTGTGTCATGGTATGCGTTGTTGTGATACGTTATGCTCGATGATGCGGTCTGTCATGCTCCGCCCCTCCATGACATGCAAGTGTATGCTGCATTCTGCTCGAGTAGTTTCTGCTATGCGATAATACGTTGGGCAACGATATGTCATGGTATGCTTTGTCATGGGTTAGAATGTTCTTCTTTCTGGTGCTGTGTGAAGTGATGTTCTGGTATGCCATGTTATGGTTATGGTATGCTCTGGTACGTCATGGCATTGTATGCGAGAATGTGGTAAACTCTGTTATGTTTGCTCAGCTCGGCCATTGCATCCGCTATTGTGATCTAGTATGTGCTCATGGGGTATGAAATGCGATGATATGCTATGACATGTTCTGATACTGCTGTATGCGATGCTTTGTTCTGCGACTGTATAACATTATATGCCGCGCTCTGTCCTGGTATCATCTGTCATAGTCTGGAACGGTCAGTTGTGTGATGCTGTAATATGGGATGTTCTGCTACGTCAAGGTATGCTATGGTGGGACATGGTACGTGATGGTATGTTATACTATGCCCACCTCTGTCACAGTACGATGTGATACGTTATGGTGTGAGCTTCTCTGTGGCACCACGATGTGACATGATATGTTCGGTCATGTCAAGTTATGACCTGCAATGCTCAGTGAGAGTGTCTACGCGATGACAAGGTCATCCTAATATAATAAGATTTGTCCTGAGCATACCTCGTGAATGAAGGTATGGTCGGTGGTGCTATATCAAACTCGCTACGGGAGTGGTAGCTGCAATGTAATAATTACGTTCTGGCTTGCTGGTTACGTTGTGTCCCATCCATTATGCGATGCTATGTACTGCTCTCTCATGGTGTTCCCAGTCGGTTAATGTGTGTGATTGTATCGTACAAGTTTTGCCTCCATGGTACCAAAAATAAAACACGTCTGGTATGATTTAATCTGATATGTGATGATGTACGTTTGTATGCTCCGCTACGTCATGATGTGCGGTGTGGTGATACCTTATGATCGATGCTACGGCCTGCATGCTCTGTCCCGTCATGGCATGTAATTGTATGCTCCGTTCTGCTATGTCATGTTCTGCTGTGTCATAAATGTTTTGCCACGCTCTGCTATGATATGCTTTATCCTGTGATGGAATATATGTGCTGTGACGCTGTGTTAGGTGATGCTCGGCTCTGTCATGTTATGGTTATGGTATGCTCTGGTATGACAACATATGGTATGGTATGCTCTGCTGTTCTTTATAGAGAGTGGTAGTATGCTCTGTTCTGTGGGTTCCGCTATGTCATTGCATGCGTTGTTACGATATGGTGTGCTATTAGAACTGTATCATACGTTCTGTCATGCGATGGTATGACACGATGTGTGATGTTACTGCTGTATGCGAGGTGCTGCTCTGTTGCCTTCAAATATGGTATGCCGCGCTCGGTCATAGTATGCTTTGTCATCGTATGGAATGATCGGTTGTGCGATGCTGTTTCAAGGTATGATATGTCAAACCATGACATGCTATGCTATGATATGGTATGGCATGGTACGTTATGTTATTACATATCATGGTATGCTATGGTGTGTGGTGCTGTGCTAATTTATGTATGCTCCGCTCTGTCACTGCATGCGGTGCTATGCTGTGCTCTGGTGTGTCATGTTCTGTCATGCTATGTTATAATATGCGTTGGTATGGTAATATGATGTGTTATGTCCTGGTACTGTGAAATATGTTACGTCACGCTACGTCATGGTATACGTTGTCGTGATATGCTATGATATGGTATGCGGTGCTGTGTGATGGTATGCTCTGTTGTGCTGTCGTATGCAATGGTATGATCAACTCAGTGTTGTTATGCTACGTGTTATGGTGCTATGCTTTGTGATGTTATGATGTGCGGGGTGATGCTCAGTTCTTTCAGGTTCTGTCTTTTTTCGCTGAAGGGGCTAGGCGGGGGTCTCGGGGGATTTTCTCAGTGGACCTGGAGATCTGGCGGCCGCGGTAGGCAGAGTGGGCGGGTCGGCGCGAGGCGGGGGTCTCGGGGGATTCTCGGTGGATCTGGGGATCTGGCGGCCGCAGTATGCAGTGTTGTTCGCAGCGTCGGATCTCAGGGGAGGCTGGCGGAGGCGGACCGCTGCCTCCTCGACCGCAGGCCACGCTTTGCCAGGCCTCCCCAGAGCTCCGGCGCCGCGGCGGCGGCGGCGGTAGAGGAGGAGCAGCCGCAGCAGGAGGAGATGTTCCTTCTCCTCCTCCTCCTCCTCCTCCTCCTCCTCCTCCTCCTCCTCCTCCTCTTCCTCCTCCTCCTGCGACGCGGGCCCCCAGGGAGGCCTGGGCCGCTTCGAGGAGGCCGCCGTGGAACGCAGAAAAACATGCCAATATGCTGTGCCCTCCTTGGAGGAGTGTGTCGGACCCGAACATACCTAGACCTCCTCGCGCTGTGAGAAAATCTCGACGGGAGGTTTTTCGTTATTTTCGGCCTCTGGCGCCCTTCCCAGGCCCCGGGGCCGTCAACAGAAATGACTCGGGATGAAAAACCGGTCCCAGGGAAGGGGTCCAGATCTCTGGGGGTCGACGCTTTGACAAAATCACGACGTCGGGGGTCTGGGCATAGTGCAGCAAACTTGTACTATATATCGTTTCCCGAGCGGTGTGGCCAGAACGCGCCCGCCACGAAGCATGTACCATAAGACTTCTCGGCGCGCGCGTCGCCCCTGGGGGGGGGCGACGCGCACATAGTATTAGTATGTTGGGGTGACGCTGGCGACAGGCCATTCTAAGGCCCCTGCCTTCTAGGAAGCCCCTCCAGCCTTATTAGCAGACCGCCCCCCTCGCGCCATCCCCCTGCGGGAGCCGCCCAATTTCCCCGAGACTGGCGCTTCATCCTGGGCCGCTCTTGTTGCGGCCTCAGGACCCAGACGCCGAAAGAGGCCAAAAGCCTTTCGTACAGGGTCTGTGGGGACCGATGCGAAGGAGGAGCTCGTCGTCGTCCTCATCCTCCTACGCAAACCTTTTCCTCATGGATAACTCTTCCCTGTCGCATCCCCAAACATGTCGGTAGGGAGTGCCGAGCGTTCGGCCTCAGACTCCCTCGCGAACTATGATACTTTCTTGGAAGTTGGGACAGTTACAAGGATGAAGCAAATGTGGTTTTCAAAATGGGGCTCTCGCCTGAGTGCCACGCACATTCGCCTTAAAAGCTTGCAGCAGCTACAAGGACAAATGGCTGTTCCTCTTCAAACTGGGGTTCTTGTCGTAGCGCCCCACGCATTTGTCTTAAACTATGCAATAGTTGCAGGGTTAGAAAGCGCCTCATTTTCAAATAAGGCTCTCGTCTCAGCACCGGCAAATTCGTCTCTAAACTGGCATCACTTACAATTCTGGAGCACATTAATTGTTCACAATGGGACTCTCGCCTTCGCGACGTGCACATTCGTCTTAAAAGCTGGCAGCTGCTACTAGGATGGAGGGCGGTTCTTCTCCAAGCTGGGGTTCTCGACATAGCGCCGCGCACATTCATACTCTTTTCAAAATGTGGCTCTCGCTTGGAACTTCTTCGATATTTCTGGCCAGACACTTCAACTTGTGCAACAATTGCACGGATGAAGGGCGGTCCTTTATGAAAACGAGGATACCGCTGGATGTACGACCATATCTTCCAGCGTTCCTGATTACTTGCTGGAAGGATGCAACAGACTTTCTTACAGAAAACCGTGGCTCGCGCCTGAATGGCAGGCCCATGGGGTGCTGGTTTTTCAAGGGGGGCACCTCTTCTTGGGTAGTGAGACGAAGGACTCATGAGGCGGGGTCTCGGGACGGGAGGGTGCATTGCAGCATCGCTGATGCATCTTGGGTTTACTCTGGTCCTCCTCCTCCTCCTCCTGATCCTCCTCCTCCTTCTCCTCCTCCCCCTCCACCTCCTCCTCCTCCTCCCCCTCCTCATCCCTTCTCCTTCTGCTCCTCCTCCCCCTCCTCCTCCCGCCCAGCCTCCAGCTCCGCGCTGGCCCCCGCCCGCCCCGCCACGCCGCCTGGCCGCCGCGGCAGCGCCTGGCCGCGGCCCCGCGGCCGCGGGGCCAGCGCGCCCCACGGGGGGGCGGCGCCCCTGCCCGCCGCGGGCGCTCGCTGCACGCCCGACATCGCCGCGGCCTCGCTCTCGGCCGCGGCCTGCGCCGCGGCCGAGGCGCCTGCCCGCCTCACGCGGCGTTGGCCAGGCCGGCCATCGCCGCGGCCTGCGCCGCGGCGCCCTTGTCCTGGCCCAGGAACTCGAAGAGCGCGTCCCAGGACGCGTCCGCCGCCGCCCCCGGGAGCGACGGCGCCGAGCCGGGCCAGCCCACCTGGGACGCGCGGTCGGTCCACTCCTCCTCCTCCTCCTCCTCCTCCTCCTCCTCCTCCTCCTCATTCTCCATTTCTTTTCCTTACGAATCACTCCTCCCTGTCGCACCCCGAGGCCGGTCGTAGGGGGGTGGGCCAGGCGTTTCGCCTGAGACTTCCTCGCACCTGTGGACCCGGAAGCTGGAACATTGGCAGCAATTTCACAAATGGAGGGCAGGTGGTTTTCTAAATGTGGCTCTCGACTTAGCGCCCCGCACATTCGCTGTCAAAATTTACAAGAGTTTAAGGATTGAGGGCGGGCGGTTTTCAACTTGTGGCTCTCGCCTTAACGCCGCACGCATTCGTCTTAAAACTTTGCAAGAGCTTCACGGATTGAAGACGGTTCGTTTTCAAAATGTGGCTCTCGCCTTAGCGCCGCGCATACTCGTTTTAAACGATACAAGCAGTTTCACGGATTCCCATGGCCAACGTATCAGAAATGGTGTTTTGGTCGGATTCAGGATTGTGAGCGCGCAACAGTTACAGGATTCGCGGTGTTGGCGCCCCAGGAATGATGTTATGGCAAGATTCAAGATCGGGCAGACGCAACAATCAAGTTGATCCGTGGCGTTGGAGTCCCGAGAATGGTGTATTGGCATGCTTCAGGGTCTTCGAATGGTTCTCTCAACGAGGCAACTCCCTCAGTGGAAATGAAACCTCGCAGGGTCCTACGAAGAGGGAGCTCGGAGGTAGGGTTTATTCAAACATCGTTGATGAGTCGTCTTGGGTTTACCCTGGTCCACCTCCTCCTCCTCCGCCCCCCTCCTCCTCCTCCTCCTCCTTCTCCTCCTCCTCGTCCTTCATTATCGTCAGCATCATCATCACCACCACCACAACCGTCTTCTTCTTCATCATCAGCATCAGCATCATCGTCATCATCCTCATCATCGTCAATGATCGTCAATCATCATCGCCGTCATCATCATCATCATCATCATCATCATCATCATCATCATCATCATCATCATCATCATCATCATCTTCATCATCACCACCATCATCAGCATCATCATCAACATCATCATTATCATCATGAGCATCATCATCACCATCATCATGACCACCACCACCATCATCATCAGCAACAACAGCATCATCATCATCATCATCATCATCATCATCATCATCATCATCATCATCATCATCATCATCATCATCATCATCAACATCAGCACCATCCGCATCCTGGCCCCAGTCCTCCTCATCCCCCTTATCCTCATCCCCTCCTCATCCTTCTTCTCCTCCTGCTTCCCCTCCTCGTCCTCGTCACCATCCCCGCCTTCGTCGTCGTCGTCTTTGGACGTTTCCTCCTCAGTCTGCTCGTGGCCCCTGGAGGGAGGGGCCAGGCGTCTAGCCTTTTCGGCCCGGCCCGCTGCAGCCCACGGCGGCAGGGCGGGCGAGTAAGGGAAAGGCGTGCCGGCGTTCGACAGGTCGGCCTTGTTCGCTGCTCCTCCTCCTTCTCCTCCTCCTCCTTCTGCTCCTCCGCCTCCTCCTCCTCCTCCTTCTCCTCCTCCATCTCCTCCTCTTCCGCACCCCCCCTCCTCTTCCCTGGCCCCTCTCCTCCTCACCCTCGTTAGCGCCGCGCACATCCGTCCTGAAAGGCTGCGTTACTTGCAAGGATGAAGGACGGTTCCTCTTCAATATGGGGTTCTGGCCTTAGCGCCGCGCAGTTCTGTCGTTTTAAATCTTGCATCAAATACAATGATGGAGCACAGGTGGTTCTCGAAATGGGGCTCTCGCTTGAGACTTTTTGCTGCTAAAGGCCACAAGGGTCAATGTATGCAGCTGCTGCATGGATGGAGGGCGACTACTTTCAAATGGAAGCAACGTGGACCCTGTGGTGCAATCTACGTAGTGCAGAATACGTGGTACAAGGGCTGTGGTGCAAGCTCGGAAGTGCAAGCTGTACGGTGCAAGCTGTGTGGTGCAAGTTCCGTGGCGCAGTGGACGTGGTGCTCGCTATGCGGTGTAAGCATCCCCTAAGTGCGAGCACTGCTTGGGGAAAACGGGCCTCTCGCTTGAGACCCTCGGAGCTCATGGCCAGAAGCTTCAGCACATGTGCATATAATTGGATGGATGGGGTGCGGCCCTCTTTCGAAGCGAAAATGCATCTTTGGACACCTCGCTGAGCTGCATGATCATGCCTGTTCGCATGTCTGTTTGCGCGCTAGATAAGGTACAAGGTAATTCCTCTAAAGAACGAATCATT